GTGTGTGTGTGTGTGTGTGTGTGTGTGTGTGTGTGTGTGTGTGTGTGACACTATAAACAGTTTAGTTTCACAAAGAATAGTATAAATACTTAAGTTTGCTCTGGTCTTCCCTATATAAGGCAAGGCTTTGCCATAACTTTTCTGAAATTAATACAAAAACAATACAACGGAATTAGTCACTCCAAGCCGCCCGCAACTCGAAAATATAGTGTTACACGCAGTTCTCACTATATTCGTCTCGCCAGTGCCGTACGCCTAATCGAATTTTTGTGACGCGTTTTTGAGTCGCAAAATCGAATTTACTTACCGATCCAAAAGGAGTTTCACTTTGTACGCATGTTGGTCGAATTTTCGTGACACTATTTCGTGAAGTTTTTTCGTGTCGCACAATCGAACTTACTACCGTACCAAAGAAGTTTCACTTCCGTTACACTTTTTCGTGTCGCGAATCGAACTCACTACCGTGCCTAAAGAAGTTTCACTTCAAAAAAATCTTTCAGATATGACAATTTTTCGCGCAGTTATGCTTATTTGAAGTTGGGCAAATTTTTGACGTAAATTTTTATTGCGATAATTTTGTTTCTTAGTATATATGCGCGTAGGTAATATATCGCCATATGATCTGAATGTTTCCGAGTTACTTTTATATTATGTACCGCTAGAATGATGCGTGCGTGCATGCGTGCGTGCGTGTGTGTGTGTGTGTGTGTGTGTGTGTGTACGTGTGCGTGTGTACGCGTGCATGTTTATACATATGTGTTGCAAATAATGCAATTGAAGGAAACGAAAACGAGGATCTTGAGAATAATTGAGACTGAGGAGTGGATTTTGATCGATAAATAATAGATGAAATACAGGTGAGAGGGAAGATTTGACAATCATAAAAGATAAAAGACAGATGAAGAATGTTAAAATCAACACACTCTCCAACGCAGAAGAAGAACCGCGGAAGATAAGGTTGTCTTCGACACATACATCATGTAGGAATGTCAGTAGTGGCAACGAAGCCAAGGCTTGACCGAAGCTATGGCGCTCAATTATTGACCAAGAATCTATCAGCCAATACTGGCCCATCATTGGCAATTTACTGATTGTTGAATTGTTAGGCGTTACAACGAAGGCTTACGCTTGGTTAACGTAACCCTGCTGAAAAAGCTCGATTAAATGCAATTAATATCATATTAATTTCAATAAGATTCTAAAGGCTTTATGACATTTTTTGGCCTACCCGGAAAAAAAAGATTATATATAATTATATATAAATATATATGATTAAATATGATGCAATTATATATGAATTTTGTCTCTATATGATCATATATAATTATGGGTGCGTTCGGTTTGGACGCTCACGCGCTGTAAGCGCTTATGAGCGTTACTCACGTCGTTCGCTTTAGCGTTGTAAGCGCTTACGGATCAACTAATGACGTCATCGTTGACGTCATAACATCTGCTGACAAACGCTTATTTCTGCAAGGTAGGGCAGTGTGAGCGTGATTAAGCGTAATCGCTTACGTTCATTTCGGAACGCATTGTTAGCGAATTGCATATCAACAAACATGTCGTCAAATCGAATTATAGACGGAAAAATTGTAACGATATTCCAATTTCTAGCATTTAACGTAGTGGTTTTCCCTACATTGAATTTCTCACAAATGGATCTGTACATAATTTAAATATTAAGCAAGGAAAAATTATATGCATACACAAATATAAATTAAAAATTGAATAAACGAAATATATAGGCTCTCCTGAATAAATCAAATAAAGGGAGTGAGAGAAGCAATTAGAGCCACGCGCGGTAATTAATGCGCAATCAAAATAAGTCAATAATAAAATATATTAGTTAATACAAATTCGGACGTTTCAACACTTTTTTTGTGTCATCTTCAGCGTAAAAATGAAAATAATACATGAAAATTTCAAACGATAAATTACAGTCAATCGCGATAAAATGAGTCAATTAGTAGAAAAGCGCAGTCAAATCAATAAAATAAAATTTATACGAATGTTCGGTAGTCTGTCAGGATATGCTCCGAATCGATCGCACCTTCGACGTTTCTCCCAGGTTGGAAGACCAGACCAGGTAGAAAGGAGAGATTCGATTGTCCTTTTTAAACCGTGAATCGGAGTCGCAATAATATGTTAAAAAACGCAATGTATCAGTATTAAAATTACAATCACGAATTCTTGCTTACGGACCATTACAGACCAGTAAGTCGCAGTGTTAAAATGTATTTGTCGCTCTGACATGTCGTGAGTGAGTGAATAAGCGTTGGTAGAAATCGGAAGGTTAACATAATAAAAGCGGTGTATACATTCGAGTTTAATTGTAGGGATAAAAATTAACAACGAATAACTCTAAATTTTTGATAACCCATCAATAACGTTCAAATAAGTATTCGGTAAACCTTCCGTGTCCGTCTGCAAATTCAATCCATTCCTGTCTCTTTACGCACAGCATCTCGGAAATTAAGCGTTTATAAAAATACGATTCATTATTTATAGAATTTCCACATTATCGAAATTATGATTCAATGCTAATCTATGATCTGTTATAACAGAATGATTATATGTAGGTATTCTAATTTATATATATGGTTCTGGTGTTCCTTATTAATTCTTGTTTGTAATTGTCTGCTCGTTTGGCTTACATATAAGATGCGTCGCACTCATTACAGTTAATTTTGTATACTACATTACATTGTTTAGAATGTGGGAGACTATCCTTATGAGCTTTTATGAAGGTTCGCATTTTGTTTAAGCTATTATACGATAATCTCACTTTTAAATCCCTTGTTATGTTCTTAAATTGTTCTGTTTAAAAAATTTAGAGTTATTTGTTGTGAATTTTTATCCCCACCATTAACTTATGTATACACCGCTTTTATTATGTTAACCTTCCGATTTCTACCAATGCTTCACTCACTCACGATATGTCAGAGCGACAGGTACATTTTAACACTGCGACTTACTGGTCTGTAATGCTCCGTAAGTAAGAATTTGTGATTGTAATTTTAATATTGATACATTGCGTTTTTTAACATATTGCGACTCCGATTCACGGTTTAGAAAACTGACAGACTACCAAACATTCGTATGAATTTTATTTTATTGATTCGACTGCGCTTTTCTATTGATTGACTCATTTTATCGCGATTGACTGTAATTTATCGTCTTAATTTGTCGACTGAAATTTTCATGTATTATTTTCATTTTTACGCTGAAGATAACACAAAAAGTGTCGAAACGTCCGAATTTGTATTAACTAATATATATATTTTATTATTGACTTATTTTAATTGCGCATTAATTACCGCGCGTGGCATTGCTTCTTTCACTTCCCTTTATTTGATTGAAAAATTGAAACAACACAGTGTAATAATAATATTAATAACATACCGATGTAAATCCGGGGTGATTATTTTTCATATAGCGATAAATAATTGTTTTTTAGGTGATATTGTTTTACGTCCTAATTTTGATCTTAGTAATTTTAGGTTTTAAAATTTGTAGAATAAAATTAAATGTTGCTCGGTTTATTCTAAAAAAAAGGATTTATTTTAAAAATTAAATATTTTTCCTCATCGAATAATAATTCTAATAATGTTATTATTTGTGCAAATATAACACACAATAACCTATCGTCTGCCATTTTGACGTGCTCATAGTCGCTTACATTGCCAAAACGAATGACATTTCTTACTATTGTGTAAGCGCTCAGATACCAAATCGAACGATTGAAAACAGCGCTTATAAGCGTGAGCGCTTACAGCGCGTGAGCGTCCAAACCGAACGCACCCTATATATAATCATATATGATTATATATAGTCAATATAGATTGAAAAAAAACTGTTTAATTTCGATAATAAAGCATTGATAAATTAAGTGTATATTTTTTCAAAAGCTATGGAATTAAAAGTGAAATGATTTATCCCATATATCATGACTTGGCGCTGCTTGGCGTGAGACACTACCGTGTTTCTTGATACCGTTCTTATACCACTATTTGTCAAAATTTAAATACGAGAAACGAATCCTATCGGATGCCATTTATCGGATAATCTGAATTTAGGATAAAAATAATAATAATAATAATAATCACGCTCGTATGAATATAAAAATTAAAAAGAAAAAGGCCAATGATCGAGCATTAGTAGATGTTAAACCATATAATTAATTAACATATTGTTACGCCCGTGCTGTACGACCGTGCCGTGCGCTCATACGAGTCGCCCCGTAGCGAGAAGTCGCGAATCGTCCTTAGCGACGGTTGTTTGTAAATATCGTTTGTCA